ATCTCTTTTGACAGTTTCAAGTGGAATGGGTATGCTGTACTACAGTTCCCCTGCAGTAGCAATGTAGAAGTGGAATTTGGGGAGGGGTTGCCTCACCTAACCACATCCATTGCCCTGCTGAGGTTATGCCACTTCCAGCAAGTAAATGAGCTCAAACACATCTATCTAATTTATTAATTCCCTGCCCATGTTCTAGTTCTGAACTGTTTACTTTGTTGTGGCTTTAGGTTTTCTTTTACTTGCTTACTAGAGAGATTAAACATTATTTTTGTATTTACCAACCATTCTCATTTTCTCTTCTATAAAGTGCCTGTTGCACCCATTTTTCTGATGTCTTTTCTATATAAACTTAAGAGTTCTTTATATTCAGGAATTGATTTGCAATTCTACTTCTAGAAATCTGCCTTTTGGGGGGAAGAGCTTTTTCATATATATGCAAGGAATAATATAAAAGCGTTTTCAGTAAAGCACTGTTTATAACAGGAAAAAAATAGAAACAAACTACTTTTTCTCATAAGGGGGGTGGATAAGTAAACTAGGTTTATTCATCAACAGCTATTAAAATTAAAGACCCACATTGACACATATGACGTGAATACATCTCAAAATCAATGTTTCATGAGATAAAAATAGCAATTTAAAAAGGATATACAACTATTATCTCCTGGCACTTGATTATGTTTTATCTTGATGTGGCGGATGGCAGAACTTATTTAGAACAGGCAGGTTTGGGGGTCCTGGGGTGCCCTTCACCCTGCCCTGTAACACTCCTTTCTACTGACCACTCCTTGAGGTGTAAACCTCATAGTCTCTAACCATAATGATCACCAGAGTCTTCTAACAGGTTTTCCTAACTCCAAACTTCTCTTACTCCCCTCTGTCCTTCACTCAGCCATGTTTACTGGCTCTGCATCCCCTTCAGGATAAAGTTAAGACCCTTTGTGATCTGGCCCCCTGTAGACTTCTCCAGCCTCAACTCCTTCTACCTATACTTTACATATACCCAGCTTCCCAACCAAATTGCCTTTAAGCACTATGCCTGTAATTTGCATCAGAGTACTAAGAAACAGTAAGTCTCCTCTCCAACTATTCTTTTATCTCTATGAACACCAGGAGTACTGCAAGAATGATGAATTACATACCACCCTCTCCCAAAGTCCATTTTAATAAGAACACATTTCAAACCAAAATAAAGAAGTCAAAATAAAATACAACAGGTGGCTCAAAATGTTGAAAGATGGCTTGGTGTGTCATGCAACTACGCCAAAATAAACCCAGTCCATACTTTTGATTCAAACATAACTCAGACTCCAACCAAGAAATACGATTCTTGTTAACTGAACCATGTGATTAATATTTGTATTTATACTTTGAAGGTAATTGTTTCTTTATGCTTGGAATTAACTGTGTTCTATATCATTGGAATAGCTAAAGTACTGTAATGAATACATTTGTGCCTAATTATATTCCATGTGTAAATGAACTCAATTCACTTTCTCCTCCACACTTCTGAAGTTCCTTTCTGTTTCAGATAAGTTGTGTAAGAAAACAAACTAGACATAATGAAGGAACGAGTATGATTCAGAAGTCTGGACAAACATGACCATATAAATGAATCTGGAATTTAGTGAAAGGTGGTGGGTGCTACCCAGAGACCTCCCTCTCTCACATGCTGGGTGAGGGGGCAAGATGCAGGGTGCTGATTAAAGTACCCTGGACACCATGGTTCTCATGCTATCTCCACTCTCAAGTTCCATTCTGCTTCAGAGAAGTGAGCTACAAATACCATTTTAAAAAGATTCACAAGATTTTGTGACGTTAGCCAAGTTATTCATTGTTTCTGGGCCTTAAATTCCTCATTGGCAAAAGAGGCATAATATGCTCAAGCCTTCGCTTATGAAAAAGACTGCACCAAGTTTCACACGAAATATTTACATTACAGTTTTTTGTGAAACTGTGAAAGAGTAAGATTTTATTAATAGCAAAGTCAGAGTTATCCTATTAATATTAACCTACAGCCCTAGAAACCAGAAGCATGTTATAATAATCCTAAATTTTTCAAAAGCAGACTTAAAGCCATAGATTACCTTTGTTTGTAAGATTCTGAGAATTTACACCGGAAAAAAAACCAGAGTATCCTCCCCCTCCATATGAACCACATATGCTGTCTGTGAATCACTTTCATCTCTAAATTAGTAGGATCTAAATTAGTAGGGCTTTCCTACAGTGAAATCTGTTTAAGCAAACATCTGCTCGTTCCCTGAAAAGTTTTTCCACAGGTGGTCTTTGAATTTGTGGCCCAAAATCTATGCAAAGAAAATGTAGCCTTTGCAACCGAAGCCTTTCAAAAAGAAGTAGCGTCCTTGAAAGACTGGGTCTCCTCTGAGCTGAGGAGAAGATGTGCTAAAAAGGAATTCCACCCTGGGCGAGGAAGTCCTTGCAATTAATGAAAGTGACAATGACTGCTTCATCACTGTCAGGACAATACTGACTGAAAGGACACATTTTTCCTGTTATTAATATTCTTTTTTTTTTTTAAAGATTTATTTTTTTATTTATACAAGCACTGGGTACAGTCAGAAGCGCAAGAAGGTGAGAGAATTCACCAGAGCCAGAGGGGAGAGCAGAGCAGGCAGAGTGACAAAATACACTGCTGAGGGGAGCAGCGGGCAGCAGGAGAGGTCTGCGCTCCATGTGGGACCCTCGCCCGGTGGCCGGGGATCGAACCTGCGCTGCAGAGGCTGCGGGAAGCTTCACAACCCAGCACTCAACCGCTGCGCCACCAGGGAGGCCCTGCTATTAATATTCTTAATCAAGGCATAAAAGGAAGCATATGTTTCAGTTGAATCGAGGCCTATTTTCTGTTTTTTCAATTACTCTTTTTTCTGGGTAGTAGAATAGACGCAGCACAAGATGCAAGTCATGAATTCTGCCCTTAACTTTACCCAAGATTGCCAGAATGACCTTGGGCAAATCACTGAGGATCGCTACTACTCTATTTGAGAAAACCCCAAATTCTGGCTTTTAGGGAGTTTCCCTTCTTATTCTATACTTTGTCATGCTGTTTATTTCTGTTTCTAAGCTGTGGTATCTTGCTTTGCCATCATCTCTGAAAAGACTGTGAAGCTCTTGAGAACATGGAGTGGAGTCTAGCAGTCACAGATGAATTTTATGTGAACTTTTTAAGACTTCTACCCATACCTATATTAAATACAAACAAGTCATCGATGGAGGGGGGAACAAGGTGAGACACTCACTTTGGTAGCACTAAGTTAGCAAATCAACACTCCCTCCTCAGGCCTGGTGAATCCTCAGCAAGTATTAGACAAGCTATCAAAGCATTACATTGACTCTGGAGTTCCTTCTTGTCTAACTAGCATGTGCAGACACCTGCCCCCTCAAAAAAAAAATGACAGGCCAGTTACTTCCTGGTTTTGATCTGAAAGTGTATTAAGCTACCCAAAAAAGTGGGCCAAGAAGGCAAGCGTGTCTTATTGGGCCTCCCCGGTGGCGCAGCGGTTGAGCGCTGGGTTGCGAAGCTGCCCGCGGCCTCTGCGGCGCCGGTTCGGTCCCCGGCTGCTCCCCGGCCACCGGAGGAGGGTCCCGCATGGCGCGCAGAGCTCTCCTGCCGCCCGCTGCTCCCCTCAGCAGTGTACTTCGGTCCTTCTACCTGTTCTGCTCCCCGCTCTGGCTCTGGTGAATTCTCTCACCCTCCCGCGCTTCTGACTGTGCCCAGTGCTTGTATAAATAAATAAAAAAAATAATAATAAAAAAAAAAATAGATCTTAAAAAAAAAAAAAAAAAAAAAGAAGGCAAGCGTGTCTTATTAACTTTTATAATACTAGAGGAAAATGGCTCAATGGACTGAAGCTGGGGAAAAACTAAACTAAAAGGAAAGTAGTAACTGAAAAGATTATGCTTCAAAATCACAAAAGTCATTCAGCTGCCCCAATTCTGGGGACCAAGAAAAGGTGGTATATGAAGCACTGTGGTCTGACTCTATAATTGGCCTTATAAAAACAGAGAGGGCTTATAAAAAGATAGGACAAAAAACACAAGTGGTGGGCCTCCCTTCCCACCACTCCTAACCCACAGTGACTTCTCTATGAATGCCAACCAGACAGCTCAACTTAGCTCAGTGGGTCAAAAAATCTTTGGTGCCCAACATGGATGGAGCTGGAAGGGATTATGCTAGATGAAATTAGTCAGAAGGAAAAAAGATAAATACCGGATGGTCTCACTTATATGTGGAATATAGAGAAACCAAATCAAAGTCAAGAAAAAGTCAAAACTAGCAAGCTGACCACAGAACGGAGGCGTACAGCAAAGCAGGGGAGAGAAGTGGGAGCAAAACAGGGAAGGGAAGAACACAAGGGAACATGGTGATGGTTCATGGGTGGTAAGGTGGTGGGAAAACTATGGGGACTAGAATTATGTAAGAAAAAATAATTTAATTAATAAAAAATTAATTAATAAAAAAAATCTGCAGTGCCTAGCCATAGCTCAGCTGGCATGCTCATCAGGGGGAAGTGGGGTTCTCTCTGGGGTGTGGCGAGGTCCTCACACACACACACACAGGGCTGCAGGTTCTTGGAAGATAAGTTTGGAATAAGGATCTAAAGGCCATCTTTGGCCAAAACTGAAGACCATTAGTTCATTTTTCCTGATTAATAAAGAGAGGTTAATCCAGTGAATGTAATTAACCACAAGTGTATAATGAGATTATACAGGAAATTCGTCAAGCTGTATACTTATCATTTATACTCTCTCTCTCTCTGTGTCTCTCTCTGTCTCTCTGTCTCTCTCTCTCTCTCTCTCTCAAGACTGTACAGAAGCTGGGACAGCGACAGTGTTTTCCCAGGTCCACAAGTCCCACAGCAACCCACTTTCTGGGGAAAATCTTTATGAAATCTAGACAATCCGAAGAAGCAGACAACTAGAGTGATCCCAGGATACAAGTTGATACCCAGGAAGAATGCATTTTTCTTCTTTGAGCCTACCTTGGCCTGGACAGCATAAGAAGCCAGCAGCACAGAAGCCTCAGGAGGGCAGTAGATCTTTTCATCTAAAATCTGCTTCTTTACCTGAAAGGGCAACAAGGGAGACATGATGTCGTGTGCATGGAAGTGAGCCGTGTAAGATGGTCACAGCAGATGGCTGCAGGGTGTTCTAACGAGGGCTGCCAAACCCGTTAATGATTTTCTGACAAAGCGTACAATTTTTTTATACTGCCGGAGACAGGCAGGGAGTTCAGTCACAGAGAAGTTACTGGTAAGATGGCTACCCATAAGAACCCCTCATCTCTCCTGTTCACAATCAAATGCTGGAGAGAAAAACCAATCTTCATGGTTAAAACGGACTGACATCTCGGCTGTGACAGAGGAGAGCTGTGAACTAGAGAAGTGTCAGGAGCAGCTCTGGTGGTGATTACAGGCTCAGCCCCTGCTGAGCACACGCAGCACTAGAGGAAATGGAGTTTACTTTTAAGTCTTAACACAAGACAAAAGTCAGCAAGGCCACTGAGTTATGACTGCAGAAAAAGAAATCACTTTCAATACGCCCACTCTAAGAAAAAAGGAAGCAATAAACTTTGATTGATTCAACTTCTAAGTACGTGTGAGGTCCAGGAAATATAATTCTTAAGCCATAATGTTGAATCAACATATCTCATCGCACTTAATTCCTCAGAATGGTAGTGTGTGTGTGAGGTTTTAGACATGGAGGAAGGGGTGGGGGGAGCACAGAAATAAACACCATAGGAAAGCCACCTCTCTCTTCACAGATGTCAACAGATACCAGATTCATAAAAGTAGTAAAGTTTGCCTTGTTCAGTATGAGGGAAAATCAGGCCAAAGTCACATGAGAGCTGGGCACTGCTTCCAAGCATTTACAAGAAAGCCATCTCCACAACGCTGGGACATTCCAGGGCCGGGGAGGTCGGGATGTGGTTCCATTCCAAGCACTATGATTTTCTAATGTCTTGGTTTCTTTTCAAAGGAAACAACAAAGGCTTGCTACAGAAAAACTGCAAGGGCTTCCCTTTAGTGAAAGAAATTATCAGGGAGCGGGGGTAGGGGGCATTACATTTGACATACTTATTTGAACACAATAATCTGAGGGTCAAACTAATTACAGGAGGACTATGCGATAGACTATACATCCACTTCTGGGAAATCATGTCATTAACACTCCTGCTGTGATCTTTGCCATTACTGACAGTGGGCACCTTCGGGCACAAACGTCATGATCCAGCACCGACAGCAGCTCCAGGGCCAATCACAGTAAATAACCATGAAAACAGGCAAGTGCAAAACTGATTGGGTTTTCATCCTCACACTAACCTCCCTTTCCTGGGCCCCCAAACAGTCAACTATAATCATGGATCTCCTAATTTCTTCAATTCAGTTGAGCAATTACTTATGGAATGCCCACTGTACAGTGAGCCTTGCCTTTAAGGGGCTTACAATGTAATAAGGAAGTAAAGGAGAAATAAGAGAGTAGACAAAGAATAGCGTGAAACACGATGTTTGAAGTTCCAGAGCACAGGGTAAACCCAAGTGTCGCTGGAGTTCTGAAGTCCACTCTTGATGAGAACAGATTTTGAACTTTTGAAAGAACTGCTCTTTGTAAATCTTTTTAAAATTTCCTTTGCAGCTATTCAGTACTTAAGCTAGTGAGAAGAAAACAGGATCCATCTGCAAAGAGGTTTCAAGTAGCTACTCCTACCTATTCTTTCACCACCACACTTGGGCAATTTCATCTGACTCATGGCCTCATCACTTGAGTATAACTCCATTCTCAAGATTTTTTCACATCATGAAACCAAAGTGACTGACTTTCCAGAGATGGAGTATTATCACAATGAGAAGGCATCTGCAGTCAACTCCGAGAGGACCATCCAAGCTGCTTCCGTAACCATGCCTGTGTGAGTTCTCACAGAAGGGGGAGTATTGGCGGGGAGGGGGGTGCACAGCATGGACTGGTTTACCTGCAAGAAGAATAAATGTTGCGTGATCTCCTGAACCAGCTCCTCCTCAGCATTCTCAGGATAAAATTTGGCAAGGAAATGAAAGGTGACTGGCTCTTCCTTTGAAACATCATGGTCCAGCACCTACAGAATTGCAAAGCAAAAGACAAACAAGCTATGTGGGCACCTCTTCCTCCCAAGTCAGGGAGAGTATATTGTTTCCCCTCTAAATTTATCACGTTTCTCAAAGGTTGTGATTCTACAGCTTGAAGCATTCGCAAAGCCACCTAGAACAAGGAATTGTACTGTCATGGTACTTCTGTACTAAATTAGCCAATATCCCCAAGGGGTGGGTGTAGTTATGATTAGGAAGACACCAATCCTCAAGGTCACAGAGATAGTTAAAACCTAGACATTTCTAACTCAAAGGTCTTGGGCACGATCCTTTATATTAGGCTGCAGGTTTTATTCCATTTCCTCAAGGAATGGAATATTCCTTCACCCCTTTTTTCTTGCTGCCGACCTCTAACATTTAGGTCCATATTGAAATGGAGCTGAGAGATGATGGACTCAGTCATTGTGAAATCACCTAAACATTAACTGAGCAACAGAAGTGAAACGTTGGCCATTGTGGCAACCCTTTGTTTCCCAGAACCTCTGGAGACGCCCCACAAAATACTTGAGCACAGTCAGTAAACCATGCTGCCTTTAATCTTCTAACAATCTCATCCACCCACTGAAAAGCTTGAACCATCTGCTCTCCAGAATGAATTTCATTCCGGGACATAAACATGCCATGTGACAGGCTACAAGGCTCCATTAACATGTGTCATAATTTATTTCCTTTGAGCAGCAGGTTCCAGCGCTCCTAATGCCCCCAATCTCATATCCGTTTGGCCAACATTCAGGTATGATTTAAAATTTACTTTGCTGAGAGTCACAAAAATGTAAGAGAAGGTTCTGCTGTCTATGATAGATAATTCTCCATGCTCCTGCCCAAATTCCAGGTGGCAGGGTCCAGAAGATTCCACACAGACCTGCTATAGAGTCCTAGTCTCGCTGACACACAGCAGCACTTTCATGATTATTGGGAAGTTCCCTATGAAACCTATAACCAGCAGAGATTCTAACATGAATTTCAGATTACTAAGGACAAATGTTCACATCATTTGAAAACGTTAGCTTAGAATCTCTTCACCACAGAGATTAGGGCACTCTATTCCTTAGGTTACATTAATGATTAAATTGAGTTGGGTCATAGTGATTCTAAAAAGACTCAAAAATTCCCTAACTAGCATAAGTTCCAAGAAAATCTTTCAAAGACATAAATTGCTAAAAAAAAAAAAATACACGTGTATATATATATATGTATATACACATACATACATATATATATACACATATGCAATTTTTTACTTATAAAGTCTGACTAGTTCAAAAAACTGAGGTGCATAAAGCCAAAAGCAATCAGCCTGGTAAAGCGGCCAGGGTGGCAAATCCCCGCAGGATCTGCCTGCCTAGGAAAGTCCGTGAGGAGTAGAAAGCCTGTGGCATCTTCAGGATCTGCTTTCTGCAAGACTTAATTCAGGGCTTGCTCCTTCTCTACCAAGTACTTGCAATACCCCGTGGTGAGCAAATAAGCTAATCACATGCTCAGGGAAAAGCCAGAGAGCACACACCAGCCCCACTGAGTTCACCAAGTTCCAGCCCAACCTTCTTGTCCATTTTGAGCCAGGCCACGGTGTCCTTGATTGTGTACTGCAGTCCAAAGAACCAGGTTTCCCGAAGCCCCAGAGTCCGGCACACCAAATCAAATAGGTCCTTCCCTTTCCACTTCATCTGCAATATAACAAACCAACAGGGAAGGACGTTGTGAGCAAAAGTCATAACCCTCTTGCACAAAAGCTTTTATCCTGCACTCCCTGCTCTCAGATTCCAAAATGTAGGGATGGCACTAAGGTGGCTGATGAGCACAGAATAACTAAATAATTTTGAAGCTTCCTACACAAAACCATGAGTGGGAAAATACCAATTAGAGCTTAATGGCTTAATCACTGCAAAGCATACACAATACCTCCCTTGGACAGTTCCTTACAGATCTTAATATCCCCAAAGCTGCTAATTTAGGAAAGCTGGTAAATAAGCATCCTCATTTAGGAGAGTCTAGCCTCTTGAGTTAACCCAGGGAGATAGGCAGCTTCTAACGACACTAATTTCCTTGAGATTTTTTTTTTTTAAATCCTGACTCTGACAAAAGGCTAGTTAAGATGGCTTTACTAAGTTTTTTTAAAAAAGCAATACAGAGGTGGGTCTTAAAAGTTCTAATCACAAGACAAAAAATTGTAACTATGTGAGGAGACAGATGTTAACCAGACTTATTGTGATCATTTCACAGTATATACAAATATTGGATTATACTGTGCACCTGAAATTAAAATGTTACATGTCAATTATACCTCAATTTAAATACATAGGTATGTGTATGTTTGTGTGTGTGTGTGTGTATATGTGTGTAGGGGAGGAAGTTGTATCAAAGACATAAATCACAAAGAAAAAGAACCATTAGGGACCAGTCAGCCCAATCACAGGTCTCTCCTGTCACAGATACTTAACTGAGGCCAAAGGGAAGGCAACTCGTCCACGGTCACACGGAGCAATTTCAGACTCCTGGTATCCAAGCCCAGGGGACAAACTGACACCAATATAATGTAGTATGTTTATTCTACAGCCTCACTTTCAAAAGGACCTACAGCAATGGCTGCTAAAGCGTTTTCTCAGCTATTCAATCTTATAGTTGGAAAAGCAAGTCCAACATTTTACCAGGGAAAGGAAATGCCCAGCAGCTTAGTAAATGTTGCCACCTTGTGGCTTTCAAGCTAAATCACCCTTGATGTTCCCATACTACCCTTTGAAGCTGCTTGACCCTCCCAAGTGTCAGGTGGACATTCAAATGCACACTGGGCATAGTTATGCACATAGCTGAGTATACTTGGTGAGCACAGGAGACACATCACAGAGATGGTGGTCACAGTAAGAATAATCTTGAGATTTAAATCCAAGGTCACCAGACACTGGAAGAGCAAAACCACTCAACTGCAGAAGCATCTGTCCTTCTTTTGCCCTTATCAGGAATCTCCACCCAATGTCCTGGCACACGAAGATGCATAATGAAAAGGAATGGAGAAAAAAAAGTGGGGTTTAAAGACTTGTTATAAGAGCCAGAAGGAAAAAATAAGTTAGACATCTAATATCTGATTGGTTTTTGCTGTTTCTACAGGGGACTTTTCAAGTAGGCTATTTTTAATACATGTGAATGAACAGTGCGTTCTCTGCAAGGTACTCAATAGGAGAAAGCCCAAACCTTCTCCGAGTTTGCAGTCAAAGTCAGAGAGCAAAGTGGCGACCAAAACCACAGCAGACAAGTGGTTGAGATTTATTTTGGTTCTTGTCCTTCACCAGGGCCCTTTCTCCTGTCTGTCCCCAATCTGTGACTTTAGTGGTGCCACTGGAACACTACAAAGGTTTAAATCTTTAGAGATTATTTTGAATAAAATAAAATGACAAGTTTTAGCTTAACAAAAGATGACCTCTATCCACTCTGTAAGAGTTAATAATGCCTATTGGCACACCCATTTCCCAATCTGACAATAGAGCAAAGGGTTTTTTAATTCATAGCAGGTTCTAATTCCTACAGGCGGATTTCACTGAAGAAATGTTATTTTGGAAAGCTAGAAGCTTTGGGATGTTGATTATCCTCTAGTCTCTATTTTAAGCCAGTATATCGTACATAAATTATAAATGACTACCTTGCTACAAGATAATGTAACACTAAAAAACAGATATTAACTTGAAGAAGTTAAACGCCCAAGGGCCAGGAAGATCAAAGTAACGATTCCCAGACCAACATAACTCAGGGCCAGCAGGCTTTGGCAGAAGGGGCTGTCTGCAAGAGGGATGTGCCACGCATCTAAAGGAAAGCTGCGAAGAGAAGGGTGAGTGAATTGCCTGACTAGGGAGTTTAAATTCTCAACATAATATTGTATTAATGCAGCTTTACTGTATTGCCTTCCACTTCTTTGTTTTTAAAATATAAAACTGTCTTTGTTGAATGCAAAGAGACAATGTCTTTGTTCCCATGGAGCCAGAGATAAAAAGGGAAAAAACCCTCGCGCAGATTCAGTTGACCTACATAGATTTTTAACTTTGACTCCGAGCACCGTGGAGAGTCAGAATTGGAAGTGGTCTCAGCAACTACCAACTATAGACCCATCCCACCCCCTTTTTAAAAAGATTTATTTATTTATTTATGTGTACAAGAACTGGGATAGGGTCGAGACAGAAGAGGTCTGCTGCACGACACGTGGGTTAGCTCCCTGGCCAGGGATGGAACTCGTGCTGGTGGCTGCAGATAGCTTCAAAGTGCTGTGACTTAACCCCTTGCACCACCAGGGAGGCTCATCCCCATTTTGTATAAATAAGAATCAGAGATACTTGGCAGCCTGCTAAAAATGACACCGGTGACATAAGGGGGGCAGCCCCCAGTTCCTACCCTGAGGGCTTCCTTTTGTCTCACTCTCTACCAGCACTCCCCAGTCACCTTGTCCAGTAAGTAACTGGTGTCTTAACACTCTTCTCCAACCCTGAAACAAAATCCATTCTTGGAACAGTCACATATTGCTCCTTTATACCTCGTTGTGACTTAAAGCCCCTGCTTCCTCTCTTATTCTTTCAACAAGCAGTTTAAGATCACATCCTAACTGCCAAACAATGTTAGACAGACACTGAGGATGGAAAATGGTAGAAGTGTGGTCCCCGGAGGAGGCACAGCAAGGACTCAGGTCAGAAAAGGCTTTAAAGAACAAGTGAGAACTAGATGAAGGAGAAAAGGAAATAAGTCTAGAAAAGCCTTCTCTGAGGGAAACTGTAAGCCATCTGGTCAAACTGAAAGAGACAACCTGAACTCAGGAGGGGATGTGGTAGGAACTGGTTGTGACATGGGGGATCTCTGAAGACTCAGGCAGAGTGACCAGACAAACAGGATGAAGAATAGGTTGGAGGGAAGAAAAGTAGAACCAAGAAGGGCAACGTGGATAGAGGAATTATGCTCAGTGAAATAAGCCAGAAGGAAAAAGAAAAATATCAGATGGTTTCACTTATAGCAGGAATATAGGGGAACCAAATAAGACATCAGTGTAAAAAAAAAAATAATAACAGTACAAAACACAACAAAGCAAAAACAGACAATTATAAACCAGAGACATACTGCAGGGGAGGAGCAGGGAGAGGGATCAGAGGGAGGGAGGGGGGAGCACAGGGGACTGAGGTGATGGGGGTGGGGGGCATTGGGGAAGGAAACTCTATGGGGACTACACCTGAGAAGGGGGGGAGGGAAGCAAATGTTGTTTAAAAATGAACAATGATGTAAAAAATAAGAAATTAATAATAATAATAAAAAAGAAGGGCAGAACGGAGGCCAACAAATGCCTTAACCAAGGCAACAGGAAGGAGAAGGCAGCCTGAGAAATGGAAAGGAGACAGTCACAGAACTAGTGCCTGAATGCTGGTGGGGAAATGAAGGAAAAAGAATCAACAGGGACCCCCAAATTTCTGAGCTAAGCACCACATAGTTCCACTAAAGGGGAGTGAGAATACAGGAGAAGTAGCAAGTTTCGGGGAGAAATGGATGAACAATTTTTAGGGAAGTTAAGGAGTCTGAGGAAACTAGGCAGGGATGTCCTAAATGCATTTGCAGTCTTAGCTCTACTTATAAATGTTTTTATATTTAAATGATTAAAAAGTTTCCTCTTGGATTAAACATCTTCAGCATGTTGTTTACCTACATGAGATTTTACTTTTCAACAAGTCTTTCCCCAAATGTATGTGACTTGCTTAGTCTTCCTAAATTGGATTTCTCCGTCTTAACAAACAAGAACCATTGGTCACCGTTACTCCTGGTTCTCAGAACAACCTGGGGAAGAGAGGTCTTGGGTGTGCATAGGGCTTCCTTGGCGCTAGCCAGGGTTGCCAGAATGTAGCCATGCTCACCTTTGGTGACACTGTGAAGAGATCTAAGTGTCTCCCTAGACTGTAGGTGTCTGAGAACAAGAGCAACATCAGTCCTCTCTCTATTCCCCACAGTGCCCGCCAAATGTGTAGATATGGGACAAAGTAAAAAATAATGGAATAGATTTGACTACTTTAAACACCCAAGTCTCAAGACTTAAAGAAAAATGAACCCCCATTCATCCACTCCTTTAGCATATATTTGGGAAACGCACCATGTGTCCAGCATCACCAAAGGTGCATGGGATAAATGGGGAACAAAAAGAGATGAGGCTGTTCTCACAGAATAGATCTAAGACCTGAAAGAGTCAGTAACAGATAATAACCTCCCTTATCTCACACATAAAGTCAACTTCTGGTGTGGTTTTCAGCACTACACCACCTGTCAGGCCCACAACAGGGAGCTCCAGGGGCTATAGGGACCCCTAGGAAGAAAGTTTCTGTCTTGGAGGGATGGGAAATAGCATCTAGACTTACTCCTGTGGTGGGAAAAGGGAGGCAGGAAGACTGGGCTTAGGGAAGAAGAAGTGTGCAGGGAAGTGTGTTCCAGGCAGAGGGAAAAGCATGTGCAAAGGTTTAGAGGTCCAAACCTTAAATGGTCTTTGTAGGGGCCTCCCTGGTGGCGCAAGGGGTTAAGCACCACACTAAGAAGCAATCCGCAGTCTCTGCAGCACCCAGCCAGCCAGGGAGCAACCCACATGGCGCAGCAGACCTCTCCTGACTCCCCGGCTGCTCCCCTCAGCAGTGTACTTCGGTCAGTTCTGCTCTCCACTCTG